CTAGCCGAGAAGTCAACCAATTGGGCTAATTGTGGTTATGGCCTTAAGCTATGCAGGCATTGGGCTCAGCCAGTGCCACGCCCACGCACAATGAAGCTAAAAGTGTGAAAGAGCCGGTGAGGACTGCAGTGCAAGGCAATAGCAAGTTCGTTGCTCAAGGTTTTTTTTTGATTTATTGCAGCTGCTTGGTAAAAGGCGAGTTCGTTGCTTAAGTCTTTGGTTTATTGACAAGTTTTTACGGTCACACTTTTATTGACCAAGAATATGAGCAGCAGCAAGTTTGTTGTCTAAGTCTTTTGTTTATTGTTGTCAAGAATGTTAGCTGAGGCAAGTTTGTTGCCTAAGTCTTTTGTCAATTTTGAAAAACGTTAGCGAGGCAAGTTCGTTGCCTAAGTCTTTTGTTTAATAAGCTCAACCTTTATTTACTTTCGTCTTTTCGCTGCAAAAGAAAGCCTTTGGCTTGAAACAAATTTAGACCCATATAACCAAAAATGTGAAAAAAAAAAAAAAGTCCAATTGGCATCTTACAAAATAAAACAAATTTAATAAAAAACAAAAATCGAACAGAACCGGTTTCGCAGCTTAAATATCTACAGACTGCGAAATGTTTTCATTGATTACCATGTGTTCATTCTGTCTACCTGGGTTGCGGCTTCATCAAGCCGAAAGGTGAACGTTACCTGCCCGCCCGCCCTCCGTCCGTCCGTCCGCCCGTCCGTCCGACGACGTCTGCGGTTTTCGCTGCCTTTGTGCAATTCTGCGTGCGCCTCAAATGTCTTGAGCGCCGCGGGACAAATATGTGGCATGGCCAGGGCCAAGAAGGAACTTGACCAAACGGCATCAAGATAAATTGTGGGTTCAGGCATGCGACTGGGCGACACGGGGCTGCTGTTATGGGTGTGTGTTTATGGTTATGCGCGGCAACTTTCGTTGTGCCGAATTTCGGACGGGCTGTCGCTCGAGCGCGCCTGGGAAAGGGAAAGTAGTCGTATGCATGCAGTTATTGATACCGAGACTCCGACTCCGATTCCGATTTCCACAGTTTCAGCTCTAATTGAATGAAAAGGGTGGAGAAACGTTTAACTTAATTGGATCTGTGCACACACACACACACACACACACACACACACACATGTGGAGACTTTGTGGGACTGATATCATCATTGGCATGAAATTGCAATTGCCATTAATTTTAATAAAATGAAGTGCAGCCAGTTAACAGAGCAGCTGCAATAGACTACAATCAAAAGCAAAGATTCCACAAAAGGCAACCAATTTTTGATATGATATGATATGAACTAGGGGAAACTCATAAAAAAAGTAGTTATCCCTCATGCTTATGTTTTGGCAAAGTTTTGCAAGCTTTAAGCAGGAGTATAAACTGTGGAGCTTGACCCAAACAGTCTTGTCTTTTTTCATTCAGTGTATCGTAAGGTTCTCAATTACATTTGAATACTTTTAGTCTGTCATTTATATTCACTTGAGTTGCCCACAGAGATAACGCACCTGTTCGCCGGCACACGAAAAACTTTAATTAATTGCGTTAACATGCCATGCAATCGAGTGGCCCACCAAGAATGCTGCTGCACCACCAGCACCACCAGCGGCATCGGCGGCATCGGCGGCACCACAACGGGCAACAAATGAAACCTGCCGCTTGACCCAATAAAAAGCAGCGCCATAAATTTGTGAAGCGTTGCAGCAGATTTGAAGATCGCGGCATCTTTATACAGTATATACATATATACATATATATATATGTGCCGGCCCTGGCCAACTTTTCGGCTATTTTTATGCCCCTCTCTCTCCCTCTCCCTCCCACTCTCTCTTTCTCTGTCTTTCACTCGCTGCAAGTGGGCCATGTAACCGAAAAATGTGCCAAAAAGCAAAGTGAAGAGAAATATGTGTGGAATAAGCACAGCTAATCTGAAAATGTAAGCAGCTTAAGCAGAGAAGCCCAAAGAGAAAGAGAGAGTAAGAGAGAGAGGGAGAGAGAGAAAGAGCTTGAGTGAAATACATGTTAAATGCAACAGGTTATTGTTGTCAATGCGACAAGCTCGTGACTTGATTCCGGCCCATCAAACGTATCAAATTGAGGCAAATGATGAATTGCACTTATATCCCAACGGCTAACTGTTTGATTTTCTTTGTAAATTTTTGGTATACACACCTGCACACACACTCACGCAGACACACACACACAACATCGAACTCATCACGCTTTCTAATGTCGTTACCTTGATGATGTTTTACTCTTGCTGCTGCTGCTGCTGCTGCTGTCGATTGCCTCGCTTCGTCGAGCGACACTTTTCCAATGCACACAAAACGAATTTCAATTCTTTGGCGCTTACATTTCGAAAGCCCCAAGTGCCGTTATTACCGCTCCATCGTTACCAACGGAGCCCAAGCTATTGCCTGCTGCTTAAGATTCTCAATTGGCTGCCGCCGCTTCAGCTTGAAATTATTTTCTTCTTATTTTTTTTTTAATTAAGCTGCTGTAAAATTATTTTCACTTCACCTAATTTTCGCGAGCCACGTAGAATGCAGCCGGGCTTCTGAGCTTGAATGTGAAAATGTTTCTTTGAATACCCTTTAAATAAGGGGATATTATTTGAAATGTAAATAAAGTAAGCTCTGCCTTTCTGCTTTGCTTTTTATTATTGTCTATTTATTAGTTATTTGACTGAATTGAAGGTTAAAAATTATTTTAGAATTTTTTTATTTATATTAAACAGATTTTCGCACGGAAAGAAATCATTTAAAAGAATAAAATCGCGCTGCTTTAACCAATTAACTAGGCTAGGGCATTAAATCTTCGTCAGATTCTAGCGGTTCTTTTCATGTTTATGTAAATCTGTTGCCGCTCAATGGACGCCACTCTTATGTTAATGAAGCTTATTAGCTGCATGAAAGATTTGCTTTGTGAAATGCCAACATATTTGATTTAAATGGCCCAGTAAACAGTAAAGCAGTCGGCTTTAATTGATTCAACGGGCAGGCAGGCAGCCAGCAACTGTTAGGCTCGTGTGGCTGGGCATGTGGTGCAGCTTTAATGAGTGCCCCAGCGCAGCGAGTGTTGACTGCGCCTAACAGGCCGCTAGTGTTATTTTAATGCCCTTTCTATAAATATTGTTGGCAGTGAATGCCTGAGAACTCAAGCCAATTATGTCTAACTGCTTAACTGGCCACATAATTGTAAAGCGCACTTGGCCAAAAGGTGCAGCGGAACAAAGTCTGCAAAGAAACCGCCCGTGAATGCACAACTAGCCTATTGCATAACTGGCTGCTTTGCATACTAATCAATTATTATTTAATTACTTGAGTATGCAGCAACTGACGCCCGCCAATATCAAACTGTACACACAGCAAGACTTGAATAAATATTAATAAACGAAGTCTTTAATTAGACTTCAATTCACGCACGTCACGCACTCTGGCAAAGGCAAAGCCCAGTTCAATGAATCCGGCATGAATAATCACATATTACACAATATATTAAGTCAAAGAAATGACGCATCTGACACAAAGATTTAACCAAGCTCATGACATACTTATATGTATATATATACAACACATCTTGAAGTTATTTTTTATGTGTCACGCCTAGACACCTGCCAAATCAGCTCTAAAAATGTCAGAGCATGGTTTTTGGGTCAGGCCCGTATTTTTGAGTGAAATTAGCATTCGCCATGGCAACAGAGTGGGCTACTGCGGGTGCCCTGGCAGCTGCCCATCAGTCTGTCAGTCAGTCAGTCGTTTGCACCTGCGTGATGTTGGCATACTTCGACTTGGCCAAACAAAACAAACGCAGCGTCGGGTACTCACTCGCACCTGAATGGGCATGTGAGCATCTTGTTATCTACTTTATGTAGCTATTCATTCTTAGTAACGCCCAATAAATTATGCACCAAACATGTGCTTTCTAAAAAGAAAAGACACACACACGCACACTTGTGTGTGTGTGTGTGTTGGGCTCGCAGCATGCGGCATTTGCTTGCCGCGAGCACTTGGCTCAGGCTAATGGCATGGAATTTAATGCAGTTTGTGAAGCATTGAAGAAAGTTAAAAAAAAAGACTTTAACTGTATTAAACTATGTAGATAATTGAAATGCCTTTGGTTAATGAATAGAGTGTATAACAAATGCAAGAAAATGCATACAGATAAAAATAGACAAGCAAATAAAACAGAGTTAATGTATGGAAGAGCAATTTACATCATTCTGGCATAATAATCTATTGAAGGTAAGGCAGAGAAAGGGTAGCCTTTCAATGATATATAAGAAATCTGACTCTTAAAAGTCAGTTCGTATTTCAAAGCGCTGAAGATGCCAAATTTTGTGTGTGGGTGCTTATATATCATATCTGGATTAGTTTTGTATATCTGCCTAACTTGCTTCCATTTATTTTTATGGATCTCTATGGATCTATAGATCGGCTAATAAGCTTTATCCGGCTTGCCAGAGCTGCAGTATATATCTACTTCTATATATCTGTTAGCATTTGCCAGTTATTTACAGGCTATCTGCCAGTCGATCACTCTCTACTCTTAACTATTACTTTACATCATTCTGGCATAACTATAAAGCAATCTATAAAAGTAAAGGAAGAGAAAGGGTAACCCATAAAAGATATATAAGAATATTGACGCTTAAAAGTCAGTTCTTGTTAGAGAGCGCTGAAGATGCCAAATTGGGATCAGTTTTGTATATCTTTGCCCTAAATGATTAGCTCATTTTTAGTTATTATTTATTTTTATGGATCTATAGATCTGTTAATAAGCTTTATTCTTGCTTGCCAGAGCTGATGTACATATCAACTTTAAGCATTTGCCAGCTGCTTACAGGCTATCTGTCAGTCGTTCAGTCTCTACTCTTAACTATGCTATTGCGGTTAGCTTATTGACTTTAGATGCCAGCGTTGTCTAATGCCAGCATTAAGAATTCACACATGAAATTCCTCTAGAGACACCCTTCGCGACTTACAGACTTTATTTTACTTACCCGCTGTGTGAACGTGCAGCAGTAGCAGCAGTGAAATTGACAGCAGCGTCGCGGACAAGTGCCAAATGTGCCACCGGCAGTTTGGCATTCTATGCTGCTGCTTCTTCTTCTTCTTCCCACAGTTGTTGTTGTCGCTGCCGCCTCTGCTGGCTTGTTGATTTTGTGTTAAGTCTTGTGGCTTTCGTCGCATTTTTGCATAAATTGTTTTGCCTGCTTTTGCGGCAATAAAAGAAAGCCTCACTTGATTCTAAGCTGTTGTCGAGTATTGTTAATTTTTTTTTTTTTTGTATTTTTGGTATTCCTTTCAGTTTATGCTTGAACTTTGGCGTGGCATCTTCCTCTTCTTTTCTTTGCCTGAAGATTTACATATTATAAGCTGCAAAAAAAGGAGAAAAAAAAAGTTTATTAGCTTTGGGCAACTGATACAATTTTTCTAAAGATTTAATGCGCAAGTTTGTTGCCTAAGTCTTTTGTTTGACACTCGCCCAGTCTGACTGCCGCTTTCGAGCGCTTAAATTTGCGTGAGAACAGGCCACAGATCTGCGTTTAATGGGGAGCACTGTCCATTTAAGTGGCTCGCAAGAAAAAGCCATTACGTCAGCCCAAAAGAAACAAGGGCCAAAAGGCCGCACAAATACGCTTATAAATCAGAGTACGCCACATAATTGCCCAAAGGCAAAAAAAAAAGACCACTTGCCCCGCGGCTTTCTAAGCCACATTTACGTAACCTCGTGTCAGCGATAGCAGGTGATGCCTGTGATACCGAGAGCAGCAACTGCTTACAGCGCACTGATTGAGATGCTAATTTTGATTGATGTAAAAACAAATTCAAACAGCGAAAGTTTAAGCACAATTTTAAGAGGTGTCAAAAGGAAAAGTGAAACTCGCAACACTCATCAAAAAATAAGACCAAAAGTCGATAAATCAAAACAAAAATAACTTGAAATTTATTAGCAAATCAGAATGGTAACAGCGGCCAACGCAAAGCTGCAGCTGCTGTTACCCAATAAGTGCAACAACAACAAAAACAACAACAACAATAACAACGAATACGTGACGCCCTACAATTGTCGATTAGCAGCTAATCAGAAGCCAAGCAAACGATCGTTAAAACGACCACAAAACCAAAACAATTGCGAAGCGGAGCAGCCTTAGCTGAAAGTGAAAGCACTCAGAGAGAACGCGAGAGACAGAGAGAGGGGGAAAGAGAGAGAGGGAATGAGCTGGAGACAGCGCTTTGTAGAGTAAAGGTTGCTCTGTGAGCCGCAACGAAGTCTTAAAACTCGATTACGCTTACAAGCACAGCAAAAGCGAAAGATACAAAAAAGACTTCGACTTCAACTTCAAACTGAGTTCAAGCCCAAAATCAAAATAACACAGTAATACGTTGACAATGCACGACTAGGCAATACCCTGTGTATGAAGATCTTAAAATGAGTTGGAAAAAACTTGTTGAGTCAAGAAATCTTTCAGGAAATAAACAGAAGAGCTTTAAATAAACTAGAAGATTCCTATTCTTATAAAAAATTTCCCTTACTTTATATAAAAGATGATCATAATATGTTTTGGCTGGCTCCAAGTTTAGTTTGAAGCTTTATATTTGTGGCAATATATTTCAAATTTTATGATGCTTTGGTTTGTTTTATCCGGCTATACACAAGCATATACAAAATAATTTGGGTTTCTTTCCAAAGCCGAAATGCCCTTTCAGCTCTTGAGACGTAAAAAAGCAATGCTTAGGTGCCGACATGTGCAGCCGCCAAGTTGAGTCATGGTAAAACATTTTGGCCGCGGTGCTGCTGCTGCTGCTCTTGTTGTTGTTGCTGTTAACAACATTTGAGTGCAGGAAGTTGGGGTGTTTTTCCATATGCCGAACCTTGAAATTTCGGCTGCCCCAAGTGAAATAGAAAGTTTTTTAATAACAACGCGAGCAGTCACAACAACAACAACAACAACAACAATAAAACAAACAATGACGACAGACAGCGCCTGCGCAACGTGGGTGTTGAACGCAGTTGTTTTTGTTGTTGTTGTGGCTGTCATTAAACGACTCCATTTTGTTTCCAGTGAGCGATTGCCAGGCAAATGTTGTTGCTGTTGTTGTTGTTGCAGCTGCCCACGCAGGCGCCTGTCAACATGAGCAGCGCTTGTTTACATTGTTAACATGCGAGCAGAGTTGCCAACTGCCGCTTCGAAAAGGGTAACTAAGTTCGTTGTGTGCAAAGCGGCTAAAAATAGTTATTAGTATAATTAAAATGCCTCAAAATATAGTTTGAAGTTGAAACTCTTTCCGGTTGATGACCTCTGAAAAAGGCTACATTTAGCTAGAAAATAGCTGCAGTGGCAACACTGTTTATAAAGTTGGCTTTCTTTGGGTTTCGATATGTTGTTGTCTGTGGCTTTTCGACGGAAGTGTTGCATTGGGCTCGCAGTTAGTTGACTGCCTTCCAAGTTAAATGACTCATGCGATCTTTTGGACGCCTGTTGCGTTGCGTAACTGAAGCTCAGCTCCGGGATATTGCATGCATGCCAAGAAGCAGCAGCAGCAGGTTGATATATTGGCGAAATGTGCATTCAAAAGGCAAAAGCGATAAAAGGCAGCGACTTCCATTGCATAAGACTGCCGGCGTATACTCCATGTGGCAATCGACGCCCATTGTGACCTTTGTTTATCACCAATTCGGCTGCAGCTCATAAATTCTTTAACTCAACACCAATACAAAAGACTTGAGCAGAAAACTTGACTGCACATTTTCTTATATACTTTCAACTTTCCACAATATCCATTAATAAAGCTCACCTCAAATATCAATCATTAATCCGAATGCATTAGCAGTTTTTGTTTACGCCAATTGATGGATTTGCGTTTTCTATCAATTTTTTTGATGCCTCTCGTCTATCGCACGTTATTTTCAATTACATTTTGCACACGAACAAATTTCACCAAAAAACAACAACTGCAAAAAACAGGCAAAAGGCAACCAAATTGAAATTTCTATAAACATAATGGACAACTGAGAGAGAGAGAGAGAGAGAGAGACTCGGACATTGGTAGGCCAGATGAAGCACGTTTGACAGCCAGCGGGAGACAGAGACGGATGCAAAAAATGTGGTTTTGTGGCTTCAAGGAATGCAGCAAAAGCTTTAAAATTATCGAAAAACAAAATCTAAAGATAGCAATTTAGAGAGTGCAAGAGAGAGAGAGAAAGAGAGAGAGGGGCGGAGGGAGGGAGAGACGCAAATGTTGATGGGCAGAGCAGCTGTCAGTGTTGTACAGAAACAAAAAATTGGCACAAATGCGCAGCGTCGCCAAAATGGCACAACTAACTGTAAATAGTGAAGCTGGCGCTGGCGCTGCAGCTGGAATTGGAGCTGTGGCTGAGACTGAGGCAATTTAGTGCCCGATCCCATTGGAAATAGCCAACATGTGTGTAGGCTGTGCGACCGGCATAAGCTGGTCAACAGAGACAGGTTATCAGCTAGTGCAAGAATTTGTGAATGAGCCGCCGCCTGCTGCAAGTAGCCCGTTTAAACTGGATGTGATTTGCATGCAGTGCTAGCGATTCCCCTATTTTCTAGCTAAGTTATGCATTTTTATTAAAGGTCGTCAACTATTTAAACTATTTGTTGGCATCTAAATGACAAGTTTATTGCCAATTCGTGCTAAGAAAGATAATTCTGCTATTTGTAGCTATTTTTAGCATCGAATAACAGCTACTTTTTTGAAGCCACAGTTGGCAACGCTGTTCGCATCACGCATCCGGCATGGCAACAGGGGGCTGCAGCTGTCTTTCAGCCCGGCGTCGTATTGTACGGACTAATTAGTTTGGCGTCTGCCCTTGCAGTTATGTTATTAAGTTTAATCAACGTTTTATTTGTTATGCTTTTGGCTGCAGCGGCATTTATTTTAATTAACAGTGAAAATATGTGCACGAAAACAAATTAAAAATGCTTGCAACAAATTTCACAGCGCGAAAACCACGTAATTTGCAACAATAGCAACAACAACAAAGACAACGAAGACGCAGTTTAAGACGGTGGCTAAAGGTAGCGCAAAAAAGAAAGTTTTGTTTTTTGTCTGGTTATTGTTGTTATTGCTCTTGCCGTATTTTTGCTTTTCTACACTACACACACACACACACGCATACACACGTACAGATAGACAACGCCGCGCACAAATATCATTCATTCGAATTCCGTTTACATTTTGCCTTTTGCGGCTGCTGCTTCTTTCAATTTTTTAATTTATATGGCAACGTCAACAGCAGCTTTGCGCTCGTTTTAGTTATTCACTTTTCATAGATTAACGCACACAGACACAAATATACGCGTACACACGCACGAACACTCGAGTGTGTTTGGCTTCTTTTGCTGCTTGCTTGCTCTCTTTTACTTTTTACCGTCAACAGGTGTTCAACGCACAGCGGCTCAACGAAAACTGAAAACCGAACGCGCTGCCGTTAGCCGAGTGCTGCGCTTAGCTTGTGGTGAGTTTCGTCAGCCGCTAGCTTGAGCTGCTGTGGTGAATTTGCGGCAGCCTGCCATTGACTCTGGCCGCAGCAGCAACAACAATTGAAAGTGCCAACTTATCGAATATGTCCAATTGAACCGCTGCACTTGCGCGTGTTATTAGCCAAATAACAGCAAAAGGCAAAAGGCAGCGCATTGCAATTCTAGCCAATTGCCAATGGTTGGGCCTAAACAGCACATTAGTCACTAATCGCTGCAGTTGCAGTTGGCCCAAACGCCACTAACAAGCCGCCGGCTTCCATTGCTGTTCTCTACGCCCATCTGCCTTATAGTTGGGGGCGCGGCAACAAGCCAAGTCCCAATCAGCAGCGTGTTCAACAATTACCTCGCAAATTGCAAACGCACGAGATCAAGATTAGGCGTAGACAAAGACAAAGGCCGCTAAAGCAATTGAAAATGAAAACTAGAAAGAAGGAACTGTACTTTATGTGCTTAGTCGACACTTTGATGCCCTACAATAGTAATAAAATAATGAGAGTAACAAGATAATCATGATTGATACCCTTCAATAGTAATTGAATCGTGATATTTTAAACATTGCAATAATTTAATTTAAATAACCTATCGATTTTTCTATACCCTACGAATGTGATTAATACGAACTTTAAGAGCTTACCGAAGTTTTGATGATGTAGAGGAATTAAATGGGAGAAGTCTTCATAGCCTGTACATAGTTTTGAGCTGAAGCTGTGATACCCTGCAGAAGTAATAAATTAATGACATTTCTAAGAATAAATGTTTTGCTGTTGTAATTGGCTTTACCTTCTTAAAATTCTTGTGCGTTGCGAACATCGTGACAAAGTCGTTAGCCCTCAGCATACCGTAGACCTGTATGGTCTAACCCTGAAGTATTTCGTTTTCCATTTCTATGGAGGCTTCTCTGTAAATAGCCTCTATTACACGAGCAGCATTCGCGTTTGCGGCTTACCACGAGTATTCAATTGCATTGGATGAGCACACCGCACACCCACAGCAGGAGTAGGAGTTGGAGTGGGAGTAGACGTTGAAGTAGCCGCAGCCGCAGTCGCAGCCACAACCTGAGCATGAAACACAAGAGGAGCCGATCACGATCCGTTGGCGGTATTCGTTTTTCATGTCACCTCATTTGGCAGCCAAGCAAAAAACAACTGATAAGAAGAAGATATTCGAAATCGAACTGCAGGCCATGACAGAAAAACCATGGGCCATGACCAGTGAAATTTTTGTTTACCTATCTATCCTCACTTATTCTACACATATTTATTTACTTGATTTTTTACTATTGTTTGGCACCTGTTAATGGTGGAAACCCTCACAACTGGCCATAATTGAGCACGTTGGCAGCTTTAATAGTTCTTAGCGCCTGGCTATTAATGTCAGACTCTAAGCTGAAGCGGTACTTTTGGGATTCATTGAGCAGGCGTTTTGCGGTCAATGCGGACGCACCGGTCTCCGGCCTTATGTTTATGTTTATTTTATCATAATTTATTTAATATTGAGTACAAAAATTTGTGTAGCGAAACAAACTGAAGCAATGTAAGAAAAACATGCGGCAACTGCCGGTATAAACAATAGCTATATGATTGCAATATTAAAAAATAAACTTAAATATGCCTAGTATTTGGGCAACTCGGAGTAGCGTGGGGGCGTCGACCAGAGCACGCTGGAGTTGCGCTTCAAATGACTGGGATCAATGTTGGGGAATATCTTCTTCAGGTCCGGTGTTTGTGGCGCCACCGAGAAGAAGCTATCGATGATATCCGTGGGGCAAAAAGTTTGTACACAAATTGCAGCGCCGCGCACATGAGCTGTAAGAGATTAGGTTTAGCAAGTAGGTATGGGCATATAGAATGGCATATATGTTAGCTTACCGCGACTCCAGCTTGGCACTGGTGGCCGCTTGTAGGAGACCTTGCCCTCATCATCGGTGGAATCATCCTCGTGCAGCATTTCGAAAGTGTATTTTGATTTTGGTGGCGGTGGCATCATTTGCTTTGCCTTGGCCGCGTTCAGCTGTTGCAGCTTCATTTGTTGCAGCAGCTCACGCTCCTGTTTCTTGATCCGCTCGGCCTCCTCCTGCTGGAGCAGTTTGCGCTGCAGCTCCTCCATTTCCAAACGCTTGCGCAGCTCCAGTTTCTCCTTTTCCTGCTGTTTCTTGATGCGTTTCTCCTCGCGCTCCTTGGCCAGCTTGGCCATGCGCTCGGCACGCTCACGTTCCTTGGCCTCGCGCAGCTGTGCCGCCTGCAAATGCTTCTGCTCGCGCTGTTTCTTACGCTCCTCGGCCAGCAGATGCAGCCCCTTGCGAAAATCTTCGCCACTGTTCTCACGCGTTAAAGTTTTGCTGGAGCTCGAATTAGTTGATTTTAGATTGGTGCCAGTCGCTGTTTTCATTAGCGGTGTGGCCTTGCACGCGCTCATGGGCGCCTTCTTAGGCTGCGCAGAGTTCACAGGCAACGCATTGGAGCTCTGCGTTGGTGTAAGAAAACGTCCCAGCGTTGGAGCTCCCAGCTTGCCAATGACCGGCGTTGTGCTAGAACCGGGCATGCCCTTTAAAGGAGAAGCAAATATGTATTTATAGATAAATAGTACGTAAATAGCTTGTGAAACGTACCGCATCCTTGATGCGCTTGGAGCGCAGATTGCTTTGTGCATTGGCCGCATTCTCGAATGCCTCCACACGCATCTTCACTGGGCTCTGCAGCAGCGGACTGATAAAGAAACAGGGATATAATATGAGAATGCAGATTGGAGATAGCTCGGCTGTCAACTGCTTACTTGAATAGCTCGTGTGTGCGCGCTGGCATCTTGATGCCCTTTATGGATGTGGGCACCTTGGGTACAGGATTTGCATTGATTGTCGGGGCTTTTGCCGCCTCGTGCACCGACTCATCCTCGGTCATGAGACTGTTATTTTGCGCCGTCTCGGGTATGCTGCCCTCGCGTGCCGTCTTCATGGATTGTTCCTTTTCGGAGTCTGTGCCGCCGGCATCCACTTGGAATGTGGCATTGCTTGCCACGTGGTCACTCAATCGCATTGTGGCATTTGATGTGGGCATATTAAACGTGGCCTCGTTAATGCCCGCACCTACTGTCTCATGGGGCAAGGTCACGGTTTCATTGGCAGCAACTGCGCCGGCAGTAGCAGTTGCGTTGGGCACATCATCAACTGCATCTTCGTATATGGAGGCCTGCGGGGGCGGTGCTTGAGACTCCTGGGAATTGCGTGCGCCGTTGCTGCCTAGACGGGTGCGCGATGACACCGGCAAATTCTTATCAATATCGCTGAAGCGTTCAACTTTGATGGGCTTGTGCGCCTCTTTCTTTTTGCGGCTCTTCTTGGTGGCACCGGATGTTGTTGTGTTGTTGGCTGCTGTTGTTGTTGAGAGCACGCTTGACTCATCCGTGGTTGATTTTGTTGCTTCCAGTGTGGCCGTTGTTGTTGCCGTGGTGTCGACGCTCAGCTTCTCGCGCTTGACCTTTATACGGAAGTTAGTGGTGGCCAAGTCGGGCTCCTCCGCCTTTCGCTCTTCTGCAGGTGCTGTTGGTTCGCTAGGCGCGGCCACTGCAGGAGCAGCTGCTGCTTGGGTAATGCTCAACGAACTGATTCTGTGCAGCTGCGAGGCGCGCTGTTCGCTTTCTAGCTTTATCTTAACCGTCTCCTCCTCGCTGGGTCGCCGCATTTTAGTATTCAGCTGTGGCTCCTTGAGTTTTTTCTCGCTGCGCAATTTGGCGGCACGCTGCGGCCGTCCGGTGCTCATGCTGGTTTCGGCTGCAGCTGTGACAGGCGCTGGCGGCGGTGGCATCAGCGTACCCGTAGTGTTGACCACATCCTCTTCCTGGGCCACGGCCAGCAGCTGTGAATTGCTCATGCGCGCGCTCTGGCGCTGTGAGACCTCGCTGGCGGCAATGGACTCTTCTGCGAGGGCTACAAAATGAGTTTGCGACAGCACTTAATAATTTCACAACTTACCGTCGCCATCATCTTCGACAAGGGAGGTCAAACGCTTGGGTCGCTTCTTCGTCTGCTGCGGCGTTACGGAGCTACTGCTGGGTTGTACGGGTGGCACAATTTCAGTGGGCTTTACTTCTGCTACGGCGGATGTTATGCCAAAAAAAAGCTGGTCCAGTTCCTCGAAGTGCGCCTGCCAGAGTAGCAAAAGGAAGAGGACGCGATCTCATTGACATTCGTTGCAGACGCAACTGTAGGGGAATTTACATACCTTGCGTATTGCTTCCATTTCCAGCTGGAGCTTGGACATAGAACGCATTATGTCCAGTAGGTCGTCCATTTTTTTTTTCACTAAATACACACACACAAATAACAAATAATTAAAGTTTATTTATCAAAACTTTTCTTTTGTTGCTTTCCGTTTATTTCAAATGGCGGCAATGACTAGCGCGTCGCCAGCCCAACACAAGCGAGATATGAACTGAAAAAACATCGATACGCAACACAAAAACTATCGATGAATTAAGAGTGGCAACTCCACGCTGCTACAGCGATATTACCGAACACTAAATACAGCTGTTTTCCCGCGCAAAAATATATTTATTTAATATTTACTGAGTATTTTAAGCTTATTTATTATTAGAAATGTGCTTGCAGTACAAATCAATTGTTTTTATTTAATAAATTGTCATATATTTACCGGCAGCTTTGTTTATAGCAAATGTGCTCGTTGCAGCTGCTCTTATTTAGAGTGTTGCAAAACACAAAACATAAGCACAAGCAAAGGCTATTTTATCAACTTGCTTGCAGCGTAAGCAACTAAGTTAAAACTGTTTAAAAGATTGGAATTATTTGTATTATTCTAATTACGCAGTTTAGGTCATATTTTTGTATACGATGTGCACAAATCGAGTATATCGAATGTTTTGTTCAGTGTTGTTAGCTAGTTAGCAGGCATGCTGGGCCCAACCGGTGCTGCAAAATACTCAAATACATTGTTAAAATTCGCCAGAAATTCGCAAGCCAGCGAAAAATTTGTAATTACTAGGTAAACAAGCGAACCGCGCGCGTTGCGTTAACAACAATAAGATGTATATATGAGAAACTGCACACCGTACACAGACACTTGTCACCAGTAACCCAATACCAACGCGTATACCGCAACACACACGCAGCAATGGGACTCGACTTTGATGTCGTGGAGTACTGCAAAGGTGTGAAATCAAAACAGTCCCAGCCGCCGTTCGCCTGCCCGGTGCGCGACTGTGATCGCAGCTATAAAACACTTGTTGGCCTGCAGGGCCATCTTACCAACTACGACCACGACAATCCGCAGCCCCTGACGCCAGTTCTCAAGCCGAATCGAAAAAGGGCGCGCTCATCTCGCGCGCTCCACTCAACGCCCAAAGACAACGGCAGTGGCGGCGGTGGCAATTCCGAGGGCGAAAACGGCTGCGGAAATGGCAGAACCACCACAAATCCTGAGTCCTTGGTCTCCTACAACGAGCACGAGGGCACGGTCACCTTTAACATCGATGGCAAGAGTGTACGGCTCGGCATTGATGATCCGCTGCCAATGGTCGATGATGATGAGTTTGCCGAGCTTGTGGAGCGCGGCTGTATATTGAATGCGGATGCGCCGCCGCTGGAGGAGAACGCTGCGTGGGCACAGGTGCAGGTGCCCGTTGCGAATGTCTGCGAAATCGATGACTACAATGTGCCTGATGCGCCGCCCAGGCCCTTGGCCTACTATCGCTTCATTGAGAAGTCTGCCGAGGAGCTGGATGGCGAGATTGAATACGATGTGGATGAGGAGGATTCCGCTTGGCTGGAGCACATGAATGAGCTGCGCGCCCAGCAAAATCTCAATGCGGTCAGCATTGATACCATGGAGCTGCTAATGGATCGCCTCGAAAAGGAATCTCATTTCCAGGCAGCGGCTAACGGCACGCCCACTGGCGTCGAGGTGGATGACGATGCGGTGTGCTGCATTTGCTTGGATGGCGAATGCCAGAACACGAACGTGATACTCTTCTGCGACATGTGCAACCTGGCGGTGCATCAGGACTGCTACGGCGTGCCCTATATACCGGAGGGCCAGTGGCTGTGCCGGCGCTGCCTCCAATCGCCCAGCAAGGCGGTTAACTGTGTGCTCTGTCCCAATGCCGGCGGCGCGTTCAAGCAAACGGATCACGGCCAGTGGGCGCATGTGGTATGTGCGCTGTGGATACCAGAGGTGCGCTTTGCCAACACAGTGTTCCTGGAGCCAATTGGTAAGCTGTTCGTCTAAGTTGGAAGACCTTGTGTTTTACATTTGCTTTAATTCATGCCAGATTCTATCGAGACCATACCGGCTGCGCGCTGGCGCCTCACCTGCTATGTGTGCAAGGAGAAGGGTCTGGGAGCGTGTATTCAGTGCCATCGCAACAGCTGCTATGCCGCCTTCCATGTGACCTGTGCGCAACAGGCGGGCCTCTATATGACCATGGACACGGTCAAGGATGGCCACAACGATAGCTCTATGCATGTGCAGAAGTTCGCCTACTGTCACGCACATACGCCCGCAGATGCAAAGCTAAAGACGAACGTCCCGGACTTCGAGGACACGCGCATGAAAATGCGCGAGGCGCGCAAAGCGCTGGCCAAGAAACGCTCAACGGCGCCGGTAGTGCTGATACCGACAATACCGCCGGATCGTGTGCACGAGATCGCGGCCATGGTGCACATGCAGAAGAAAAAGGAGTTCCTTGATCGCATCATTGCCTACTGGACGTTAAAGCGGCATTATCGGAACGGGGTGCCGCTGCTGCGTCGGCTGCAGAGTCAGGGCAACAATCATGGCGTCATCCAGCGCAATGGCATCGAGGGCTCACCGGACACGAAGGAGCTGTACCGGCAGCTCAAGTACTGGCAGTGTTTGCGGCAGGATCTGGAACGGGCGCGTCTACTCTGCGAGCTGGTGCGCAAGCGTGAGAAGCTCAAGGTGGCATTTGTTAAGATCTCCGAGGAGGTGGTCATGCTGCAGCTAAATCCCCTGGAGTCGGCATTGGGCAAGCTGCTGGATGCGCTGGAGACACGCGACACCATGGAGATATTCCGGGAGCCGGTGGACACCAGCGAGGTGCCCGACTATATGGATATTGTGAAGCAGCCCATGGATTTGGGCACCATGCGCACGAAGCTCAAGGATTGCAAGTACACTAAACTGGAGCAGCTGGAGGCGGACTTTGATCTGATGATACAGAATTGTCTGGCGTACAATAACAAGGATACGGTATTCTATCGGGCTGGGATACGCATGCGCGACCAGGCGGCGCCGCTGTTCGTGCAGCTGCGCAAGGAACTACAGCGGGACGGATTACTGGAGCGCGGCCATCGCGCTAATGTGGATCATGTGGAGGGTGAGGTGGAGCAGGAGCTGCGACAGCTGCTGGCGATGCCGCCCAGCGAGGATGTGGTACAAAAGCTGCTCATACTGGCCGACAAGTCGCAGGTGCTCAAGAATCCCAGCTATCGCACCAAGAAGATTAAGCAAATCCGCCTGGAAATCAATCGCATGCGCAAATCTCTGCAAAAGGCGCGCTTTGCAGCGGTAAGTAGTCGAGCTTTGGGGGTCGCATAATTAATTATTTATTGAATTGCAATCCTTTGCAGCGATACTCTTCGCATGCGCACTCCCAAAGCGACGATGACAATGAGGAGACGCGCCTTAAACCCTCCAAGAAGCGAACGCGCAAACGTCTCAATAGCAGCGCCATGGATCTGGACGAATCGCAGGAGCTGCCGGCGCAGCAGCACGATGATGATGATGACGACGAGGATGACTCCGATGATGATTCAATGGCCGACGATGGCGCCAGCAAGGACACCACCCATATGACCCAAACGCCGCCCTGCAGTCCAGTCAAGAGTCTCAACAATAGCAGCTCACCCGTGGGCATTAATCGAAGGTGGGTTTCGCTATTTATACGTGGGGCATATCAGCTTTCTTGTCTGTCTGCCCAGCTTGTCCAGCGTGTGCTATATCGGATATGTATTTGAAACCGAATTGGACTTCCCGAGAAGTAAATTAAAGCATTGGGGAAGTACAGTGGAATCTTGGGCGGTGAATAACCAAGGCGGTTTAGTTCAGAGATTATTGGGTATTCGGGGTTTTTCTTGGGTTGTTTACAAAATGAAGATGCTGCAAGCATACAAAAAAAGAACTGGATTTAAATGAATCAGAAATGAGAAAACTTAAACAATTAATTATACTAAGAATAGGTCATTGAATTTGTTATTTATCCGAATAGTTTACTAAACCCGCTAAAACACATTTAAAGGGTATCTCGAAAGTCATAAAATCTCACTTATTCACCTCTCAACTCTTCCAGAACGGCCATTCTCTTGACGCGCAAGGCGCAGGCGGCACTCAAGCGCCCATCGGAGCCCCTGACGACGCCTGTCAAGGAAGAGCACCACAATTCTCAGTCATCTAGCACACAATCGACCAGCGCCAGCTCCAGCTCCACCACAACCGCAGCCACCGCCGCCTCCAGCACGCTGAATGCATCGCTTGCTGCCAGTGCCACGCCCACGCCCAGCAGCTTTTCGTTGGCACACAACAGCACAAGCGCCGCCGGAGTGGGAGCAGCCGGCGCCAGTCTAACCTCCAACGCGCTGTCCATAAGCAACAAGCTGAGCCTAAGCCTGGGCGCGGGCCTGGGGCTGTCCAAGTCGCCTAAGCGGCCGGCGCGCTATCGCCGTTTGCCTTCGACGTCACCAAAGAAGTCACCGAATCCAGCGGCTGCAGCAGCAGCAGCAGCAGCGGCGGCGGCGGCGGCGGCAACGACGCCGTCGACAACAACGGCCCCGTCAATACCTGCGTTGGCGCCAGCGGATCCACTGCCCTTTGAGCGCATTCCAGACAGCTTTCGTGTGTACCGAGGGAACAATCAGCGGGACGTTAGCGAAAGCGACGATGGGCCCTCCCAGTCGAGCAGTCCGTGCAGCAGCTGCTCCGACTTCAGCATGTCCGGCAGCTGTTCGGATTTTGACACCGATGAGGCGAGCGATGGGGATGCGCACAGCGAGGAGGGCGACTCGGATAGCACGAAGGCGAATGCTATGCGCGATGACTCGCAGGAAGAGTGCACCACAGATGCCATGGATCTGCAGCACGCGAGCCTGAACAATGCTCAGGGCAATGGCAACATGGCTATCAGCAGCAGCGACAGCAGCTCCGACAGCGACGATGACGACGAGGAGGACGATGACGACGACGACGACGAGGAGGGGCCAAACAGCGCCGACCTGCTGGATGCGAATGCCGTGGGCAAACAGCGTGTCACACGCAGCACACCAACGCCGCTGCAGGGACGTGGCGGCGCGATGGCGGCTGTCCGTGGCAGAGGCAAGCGGCGCAGCAATCTCAGCGAATCGACCAGCTCCACGGCGACGCCGCCACCCCTGCTGCGCAAGGCGGGTAAACTGCGCTCGGCCACGCCCAATGCGTCGCCGCTTGTAAATAGCATAAAGGCGAGACGAAGCACCACCACAGCCACCAGCAACACCACCCTAACGAATAACAACAAGAGCAAGCCGCACCACGAGCTGGAGGAGACGGGCACTGCCGCCGCCGCCGCCGCCGCCGCCGGCGAGGTGCATGTGCGGCACAACAACAGCAGCCAGAAGGCGTCGCTGGAGCCACTGCAGCTGGTTTGGGCCAAATGCCGTGGCTATCCCTGGTATCCGGCCCTCATACTCGATCCCAAGACGCCCAAGGGTTTTGTGTACAATGGTGTGCCGTTGCCGGCGCCACCAACGGATGTGCTGGCGCTGCGACAGAATTGCCTCGACGATGTCGTCTTTCTGGTCCTCTTTTTCGATGTGAAGCGCACCTGGCAATGGCTGCCGGCCAACAAGCTGGACATACTGGGCATAGACAAGCAGCTGGATCAGCAGAAGCTCGTCGAGTCACGCAAGCCCGCGGAGCGCAAGGCCGTCAAGAAGGCGTATCAGGATGCGTTGCACTACCAGAGCCAGGTATCCGATCTAGAGGGCCAGGGCCCCGATCCCATTATGTGAAATCTGTTTGCCCAATTGCATTTAAATGTTAAATGTTAAATGCGCCCCCGCCTTGTAATCACAACCCGTGTATGCTCTAATTTCTCTAATTATGTATAGCTCCATATAAATATATATTTAGTTCTCGAAATGGACCAGCCTGGGAGCTGGACGGCTGGCTGATGCTACTGTATTGTTACTGAGAAGGTGCCCTCCATAAGTGTATTTCGTTGAATTTTCTTCACTTTTCGCAACTTTCCAATTTTACACTGCAAGTGTTGTTGTTGTGTTTTTTTTTTGTTTATTTAAAGCGAGAGAAAATGCAAGCAACAAAATTATTAAATATTTCGATACTTAGTTCAATTTTTGTAAAATATATTTCAAAAATCCTTTGCAACAACAACAACAACAACAGAAACAACAACAACAAAATGGAATTTATAACCTCAAGACGTTTCAAATAAAAATCAAATCAATGTTTAAGTTAAATAGTTTTAAGCCGCAAAAAACAAACAAAATATAATTAGTTAAGCGACAAATTTGAAAAAAGGTGTAAAAAGAAAAAACAAACAGAAAAACAAAAAAACACAAAAACAAAACATTTACAAATAGCATTAAATTGTATATGTGTGTGTGTGTGTGTATATCTGTGTGTGTATGTGCGTGTCTGTATTTGTGCGTATGTGTGTGTGTTTATTGTGTTCCGTTTTTAATTTCCATATGAACAAATATGCAAAAGTTTGATTATTATTACGATGTATTACGATGATGATGATGATGATGATTATTATTATTATTATTATAATTACGCTGTGTAATTAATGCAAATTATTAGAATTAAGCGTCAAGCGTAGAAAATTAAGTTATTGTAGTAGTTGCCCATAACAAGATTGAATATTGTTTAAATTTAACGGTAAAGTAAATGCAGAAAATAAATGTTTTAAACAAATGGCCAACGATTTGTTAATTAACGATTTGTTAATTGACATAGAGACATGTTAAACTATCTCTATGAACTGGACTCTCAGCTGACATATATTAATGAAACTTGGTACAGATGCTAGTTATAGTTAAAGGAAGTACATAGAAGAGACCCGGTTGAAATGGTGCACTATATCATATAGCTTCCATAGGAACAATCGGTCAAAAAGTCAGCTTTTGCTTGAAATTTGTTTTATTTCTTGAGATGTTGCTATATTAGCAACTAATATATTTAAGTAAGAGTAAGAGATTGAGAATTATTTTAATTTTTTTCTTCTTAAAGAAAATCCAATTTAAGTAAGCTCCACTTAATACAAAACATAAGGGATGAATATCAGATAACTATATCTTCCATCTACAAATTGAAGATCCTAGTTGATTATTATGAGTTTACGTAATATATTTCTGTAATAAGGGCATTTAAACTCCTCTCGTTTAATTATTCACACCACAGTTAGACAGCCACTGGGCCAGTTTGAGAGGCACACGCGATTCGCGTCACAATAATTGACTTTAAGCCAATTAAATTGTCAAATTAAAAGAGCACAAAATATAAGAAAAATAAGAAATAAATTCGAGTATTGGAAGCGAGCAGATCCGAAACAGTTGACAGATTGGACAGGTGGCGCGACGGGCGCAGTTATATGCGTAATTGAAAGAAAAAAAACAAAGAGAAAAAAACGAGATAATAAACATGTTTAATATATTTGTAAGCGAAGACAAGAAACGCGTCATTAATTACGCGTTTAGGCTGGCAAATTATTATTAAATCGTATTCGCTGAGGTCGCATTTGTCGAGCGCGACTCTAAATCTGATTGATCGGGCAACAGGTGAGCGTCTGCCCGAGCATAGACAACTCAATTCAATGCAAAACTCATAGAATCGCCCCAAAATATGCCAGCTCTCCTCCACATGGCCTTAATTACAAATGCAAATTCATTTAGCGACTGTCTGCGATTGAAGCTTATTGATGTTGACTGTTAACTGCACTGAGCGAAACAGATTAAACCCAATTTGTTAACATTTAACCCCAAGCATTTAGAGGCTGCAATTGCTTAACTAGTGAGGTAATTTAGACATTGAGTGGGGTTTTAGGGGCAACAGCATAATAGGTAAAAAACTAGAAGGTACGAACCATTTAACTCTTAGACTTATGGCTTGAAGGTGCTAAATAGGAGCCACATTTTATAGATGTCTGATATAGAGTATATGCAGAGCATAATGAAGCTCTTATTCGTAGAGATCTTAAAAAATAAAAAATATATATATATATACTCCTTCCGAACCTGACAAGTGAGCCAAACAGATAAAACTCAATTTGTTAAAATTTAAGCTAAGTATTTAAATGCTGTAACTGTTTAGCTAGAGAGTTAGTTGATGTATTAAGTGAAGTTTTAGGGGCAACAGCATAATATGCAAAAACAATTATTTTATTACAATTAACTCTTAGACTTAGGGCTTAAAGGTGTTTTTATAGCAAAGCTTTATTTACAGTCGACTGTTTGAATAGGAGCCGCATTTTATGGAAGTCCGATGTGGAGTATAATGAAACTTTTTTTTGGCAGAGTTTGGTCAAGAGATCTTCTGAGCTTGACTTTATTATAATATTCGCTACATAGAGAGATATTCTTTTTTTTTCATGTTTTATATTTCGATCGGTGCCTTTTGATCTCTGCCAAGCGAATGTTGAGGGACAAAGTTATAGTCACAATAGTGTAACTTCGGAAAAGTTATGGACCCAATATTTTTTTTGTCAGTGTATCGCAGCTGCACTTGACAAGTGCTCGGTGCTTGGCGTCGTGTAGGTCACCGTGCGTTGGCGCTCTAATTGATGTATTTATTTAGTAATTGCTTGTACGCTTGAACATGAAACGGAACTGAGAAAACATTTGCCACTGGCCAGCAGCCAAGTCAAGTCAAGTCAAGCCGGGCCCGGGCCAATTGGAGTGTTGTTTTTCTGTGGATTTCCCAGTTGGCCCGCGCGAAACGAGTTTCTTGTCAAATTTTTGGTATCCAAATAAATTTCAAGAGATTTCAACAAATGACGTAAATACTACCATGGCGGCAGCCCCGGCACTAACAAAAGCTTTATCGAAAGTTTATAAAAAGAATATTTTGTGCATGAAAATATCTGGCCTTGGCGTTGAAATCGAGCCCAAAATTGGAGCTGAGCTTTGTTTTTAAAAATATCTATATATATATACATATTTATTTTTAAAAACAAAGCCAAGCAAAACAAATTCCGAGCTGAGCAAAAATATGAAAATGTTTAATTATGGCTTTGTAAGACAACTTATTAACCCCCTTCCCCCTTCCCCCTTCCACCCCGCCGGCAGCACTTCCATTTATTGGCCACTTTTAGCTCGCAGTTAAATCCCAAATAAGCAGCTTAGCAAATTTTTTGGGCTTTTTGACCAATAAATCATTTGCGGGAAAACATTTTTGCTGACGCGACTTTTTTAACCATTCACAAAATGTATTTCATTGAAGCGCAGTTTGTAAATGTTATGCATACCCTGTACTAATTAAATAATTGCGCTGGAAAAGGGTATATGAGGCATGCGGTGCGTATAAGTAACAGGGCAGAGGAAAAGTAGTTAAAAGGCAGCTTCAATTTTAGCTTAGCTGAAGATAGATAAAGATGTATCTATATATGCATCTATATATGTATCTATATATGTATCTATATATGTATCTATATATGTATCTATATGTGTATCTCCATATGTATCTATATATGTATCTATATATGTATCTATATATGTATCTATATATGTATATATATATGTATCTCTATATGTATCTCTATATGTATCTCTATATGTATCTATATATGTATCTATATATGTATCTATATATGTATCTATAGAAAAAGGCCATTTATAAAGGGTCAGGTTATACGCTCGAGAAGATAAAGATACCTTAGGTTACTTTAGAGCCTCGCCTAACGAGCTACAGGGTATTTATCGGGTCGCAACGCACACGACTAGAGTCCGTTTGTTTTTTTTTTATTGAATTGAGTTAATAATGGGGGGGTGGCCGGAGGGCAGCGACGCTTTTGAATTGAATTTTTAAATTAATTTGCACGCAGCTGCAGCGCTCAAAGTTCCGCACTATGACGTCGGGCCCGAATGTGGCCCGAAACTGGAACTTGGCACTGGGTCTAAAGCGGAGACTGGGTTTTTTTTTCGACTCTGCTTATAAAATATGCGTAATCACTAATATTTCGCTTTGGTCGCACGTGATGCAAACAACGTGGTCAAACGAAGCGAGCCGCATTAAAAAAGCTTTTTTTTTTGTATATTTCGGAATTTTTGAAATCGGCCCGGTTCAAGTACGTTTATTGGCCATTAGCTTTTTGCCTTGTCGCGAAATTCGCCCGAAATTATTTACATAAATTGGTTGCTATGAGTAAAAAAAAGGCGGAGGGGGGGAAGGCTGTATTGTTGTTGTAATTTGCCTTGCAAGCTGCTACGACGGCAACAGGAAAAGCATCTGAAAATGTCACAAAAAAAGTTGTTCCTCCTTTCTGGCATTTATGGCGTGGTTTTTTTCGGGCAGACATCTTAAGGAATCGGATGCGTGCGTTAATTAAATGTAATTAACACCTGTAGCCGTGCACACATCGTACATTTGCCGGAGCGCACACACACACACACACACACACACTCACAGCCCGGCTAATCGAAGTGCTTTATTCGCCCGATAAGATAAGGAATAACGTGCTCGGGACCCAGTAACCGCTGCTCTAATTAAACTGGACGTGCCTCCGTTTCGATTTGGATTTTTATTATTTTTATTAGAGCGCGTGGACAACAGAAAAATTAAAATAAATTGCGCGCCTGACGCAAGTAGACGAAAAAAAAGAAAGAAATAATAATAATAAATAAATAAAACAAAAATTGACTGGCAGCTCGGCATCTGTTCCCGGGTCCAGACACTGGCGCTCATGTGACGTCGCTGCCGGCGTCGCTGTCGGCGTCGCTGCCGGCGTGACTGTGGTCAGTTCGTATACAAAATGCCTATAAATAATATCAATACTAGACGCTTAACGCTTGGCAACAAGATTTCTAAAGCGTTTCGCAATGCCGCTGCCCGGTTATGAAATCTTCTCGTGAAAGTGACCCAAAAAAAAGAAGAGGTATTATTTCTCTCTTGAGCTGTAAAAGCTGTACACATGCGTGTACTAAGGGGTATTACAATGCTTGCCCTTGCCTTGTCAGCTTTTTCACTGGAAAGTGTTAAGAGCCGGCGCCTTGTGACAATAAGTGCCAATACGTGCGGCATGTGATGAGCAGCTTAGCCTGGGATTGTCCCTTGCATGTCTCATCGAGTGTTAAATGCTCTACATGGCTTTCCCTCGAATGCTTGATCTTGCAGTTTAGGCAAGGAAGGGGGGGGGGGGGGAAGGTATGGCTGCATTGAGTCCGTACTCCGCTAGCTGTAATAATGGATGGAAAATAAATATTTTCGTTTTCTTCAAAGAAATCTTCCTAATTATCAATCGCAAATACAATTAAAAAATCTGCTAAATTTACAGTTCACAATTTGTTAGCTAAATTAATTAAAAATTATAGAAATAGCTTTTAGACTAAAAGTATTTTTTGCAAATAATTAACTAGACATTTTATTTATCTAAGGGAAAAATTCTCTTTAATTTACACTTCATAATTTGTTAGCTACATCCCTTTAAAATGTTATAGTTGACTTTAATTTTTTAAACAATTAATTAGACATTATTTTTTCCAATAAAAAATAACAGTTAAATAAACACTTCGTAATTTGCCAGCTGGATTAATTAAAATTTATATAATTGATTTTTAGACTGAAATTAATTTTTGTAGATAATTAATTAGACATTTCTTTTATCTTCTAATTTTAAGCTTCATAATTAGTTAGCTGCATTTATTACAAATTTTATAATTAATTTTATGACCAAAATTAATATATTTTAATAATTAATTAGACATTTTTTATCAAAAAAAAAAACTGCCAAAAATTAAAAATGCAAAATTTGTTAGTTTGTTTAGTTTTGTTGTTTAAAAATGATATAAATAATTTTAAGAGTAAAATTCATTTTTGAAATAATTAATTAGACATTTTTCTTTTGGCAAGTTGTGAATTTTATGTCATTTGTATTGCCTAAAATTTGAAATAATATTTTATATATTTTATAATAGGCCAGTTCTTGATTTATTAAAAAAAAAGAAAATATATATATTTTTTTTATTGCCACTTCATGTGACTTTTTGCTGTGCTTATGCTGTTATACAAGCACAATTAATACACATTTGTATAGCAATATCTTGAGCCAAATGTAACAATATTTACGCCTTACACCTAATCTAATCTAATAAACCCAAAAGGTGTCTAAATTCGCACCTCTAGTGAGAATTCCAATACAAGTAAGAAATGTACTCATTAATATGTGTGTATATATATATATTGCTTATGCGTATTATAATACTTAGTAAAGCGAGCCTCTTTTGGCTATAATAACAATTAAATAAATTATAATAATTATTATTATTACTGCATGTCAAAATTGCAGTTAACAGCTGCTGTCAACGGCAGCTGCCTTGAAATCGCGCATTAACAAAAACTTTTACACACACTAAAAAAGCCGCAAACAAAAAAAAAAAGTTTCCAATTGATTTTCAGACATTCCTGAGTCAATAATTTAATTTGCATATTTATTTATTGTTTTATTACACTTTTGGTGAATTTCCTTGCATACATATAAATATATATATATATATACATATATGTATGACTTACTGCTATGGCATGGCATGCATGTATGTATGTATGTGTGTGCGTATGGCATATAAGTCTGTGAATTGGCCATATAACGGCGCCGACTGAAATTAACTTGAATTTATTATTAAATGCCGCAAATGCTGGCAACCGGTTGAGCCCTCTGCCAATTTCTGCACCCCCCTCTCTCCCACCTCTCCCCTCTCTCAAACTTGATGCCAAGCCAGGTTCATGTCCAGTCGCATCGCATTTGCCGTCATACAGGCGCGTCCAGGCGGCGACTGTACAACAGTTCCGGCTAAAAATAAGTGCACGCCATATTTGGGTCTCCAGCTGGCGAATGGGAATGGGAATGGGTTGCATCTCTGTATAGTCAATTGATATTTTGACAAATGTCAGTCGCACTTAAGTAGGGATGCCAAAGGGCATATGAATGTACATATATGGCGGGCGAGGGGGCGGTTGATAAATCGATCCGGGTTCGAGCCGGCCAGCTGTCTGCCCTTTGCGGTAAATAATTTATGCATTGGTCCATAACATTGACAGCGGCTGGACTAAAAATATACCAGGCTCGACCTTGAGGCAGCGGCTAGTGAATGGGAACGGGCTGCATAACGGCAGAACCAACTGGATGCGACAACAGGATGGGGCTGACAATTAACTGCCAGAACACACAGCGGGCAGGCAGGCAGGGAGAGATAAGCAGCACGCGAAACTGAGACCTGGAAGCTGAGATGTGATATCTGAGTTGTGGCGCGTCGTGGCGCGTCGTGGACCTGGGTTAAGAAAATATTTATTGGCGCATCCTCAAACCGACCGAACAGGGTCAGCTCAAGGACAGCGTCTGGCTATTTGCCTGGTTCTTTGCCACAGAAACCCAAAGCGTCGACTATAAAAGGCCCAGACCTGAGCCGAGAACCGCAACAGTCTTCCTCGAGTAGTCACCGAAGTTGTAGCGAAGTTTTGGTTTGTTTGTGCCAAAAGTCCTACCAGTCAACGTTTACTCTATATATACATATATAGCAAACCGATCAGGTACTCAATATCCAGCAAGATGCATCTGCTGTTGCTCAGTCTCCTGGCGCTGGGCGCGCACGCCCATTCCATTGGCTACCGCAACAATCTGCTGTCCTATGCGCCGGCGCGCGGCGAGTTTCCCGTTCAGAGCCAATTGGCCCAGGGCTATATGCGGTATCTGGACAACACGGGCGCCGAGCGTCTGGTTGCCTTCAATTATCCGGAACCACTCTACGGCATACGCAGCATTGATCAGCAGGTGAAGGCGCAGGATCAGCTGGAGCAGCAACAGCAGCATTTGGCCCTCTTCCGCGCCTGGTGCGAGCAGCGCTATAATGCTTTGCGCGCGGAGCTGGAGCGCCTGCGCGCCGAGGGCAAACAGCCGTCGGCCAATATGCTGGCGCAGTACGAGCCGCTGGAGCAGATCATCAAGACGAACGCCTTTGATGCGGTGCCCGGTCTCAATCCGGAGGTGCAGCGCGCCCGTGACGAGCATCTGCGCATCTGGAACGAGGCGCGTCTGCAGGTGCTGCAAGCTGAGTCCGCGGTGCCGCAGGCGTCGCAGGATGCCGTCATCCAGTTGAAGTCCATGATTCCACTGCCCGTTGCCGCCAGCTGGGAGAAGCAGCCGCAGATCAAGCAAATCTCCAACAATGCCGAGCCGCAGAACTCACCCCAGCCTGTGCAGGAGACAGCCGAGGTGCAGCGCGCCCGCGAGGAGCATCTGAAGCGCTACAACGAGGCACTGCAGCAACAGCAGCAGCAGCAGCAGCCCGCAGAGCAACAGATTCAGGAGCAGCTCGTCAAGAGCAGACCCGTTCAGCCCATTGAGCAGCAGCAGCAGCAGCAGGCGCCGCAGCCCGTCGAGGAGACGCCCGAGGTGAAACGCGCCCGTGAGGAGCACCTGAAGCAATATAACGAGGTAATTCTACGCCAAGCGGCCGAGGCACAGGCACAGCCCCAGCAGGAATCCATTGCAGCACCCTATGAGCCACAGGCCGCCGTAAAGGCCGCCATTCCACTCTCCGCCGGCTACGTTCAGAGCATCAAGGCGCATGAGCAGCAGATTCAGCAGCTGAGCCTAACCAAGCTGAAGGCCGAGGATAAAGTCGCTGACATTTCGGACAAAATACGCTACGAGGAACGCGATCGGGATGCGGAGCGCGAACTGGAGCAGGAGCGTCGCGAGGAGCTCAGACTGCTGGAGCTGGAGCGTCAGCGCGAGCTGCAGCGCCTGATGGAGGAGCAGCGCCTGCTCGATGCCGAGCGCCTGGCACTGCAGCAGCAGGAACAGCAGCGCATCGAAAGCGAACGGCTCGAGGAGTCGCAGCGCCTGCAAGCCGAGCGCCTGGAACTGCAGCAGCAGCTGAAGATCGCCAACACGTTCGAGCCGACGCCCGCGGAGCAGCCGAGCAGCAGCCTCAAGTTCATTGCCCAGACGTCGGCACCGGCACAGCCGCAGCCCGCACAGCCTCAGCATATCGCGCAGCAGCAACAGGTCCAGAATGGCTTCTTCCTGCGCATTCAGTCCGGCCAGCCAAGTCAGCCCATCAGTCCGTCCGTGCCCATCGCTGAGCCCTATCTGCTCGCCGAGCATGCGCACAATCCCTTCCTGGTGCGCTACGTCCAGCAGCCGCAGGCTCTAGTGAAGACCATCAGCAATTCGCAGTTGTCAGCCAACTCCATCTCCTCCAGTGCCAGCGCCTCCTCCTCCACCTCCTCCACCTCCACAAAGAGCTCCAGCAGCCTCAGCGAACTGGAGCAGGCGACACGCGAGCACTTCAAAGCGCACGAGATTGCCTTGGAGCAGCTGCGTCTGGCCAATCAGAAGAATCCCAATCTGATACCATGTACCCATTGAACACGGATGCCGAACAATTCGCACGCTTTGAATATTTTGTTCAGTTTTTGCACAATTCATCAAAATTCAATTCCAATTTGTATGCATTAGACTTAAATAACTCGTACCCATTCACATTCACACAAGCACTCACATACTCATATACTCGTACTCATATACTCATACTCATGCTCGTACTCATGCTCGTACTCATACTCGTACACCTGTAGCGTTAGGCGATTCACGAATACTTTTGTAAGTTTTAAATGCATTCAGTTGAGAAACAACGCAAAAATCAAAGTAAATTTTCATTTTTTGTATTTTGAAATTGAAGTTTTTCTTTTTTTCGGGCTTCGAGTTCCTGCTGGGATTATTTGGCTGAAACTTGGCATGAGGTCTTGCTCTTGCTGCTTCTTGGGTAAATGTATATAACAGTATATAACATAAAGTTGTCCTGCGAAAGATGAACCACATAAAAGATAATAAATACATACATATATCTGCCGAATATATAACCTCTATATGCCATTATATTTGCCATTATATCTGCGATTATATCTGCCATTGGTAAGTGCATTAAATTTTCGTCAGCCTACAGGTATAAATTTGTCATTTTTATATGTCACATATATGTCACATATATGTCACATATATATGCCTGCCTAATATACCTCTATATCTGCCACTATATCTGCCATGGGCGAGTGCATTAAATTTTCGTCAGACTACAGGTAAAAATTTGTCATTTATATATGTCACATATGCCTGCCTAATATACCTCTATATCCACCATTATATCTGCCTTTACCTCTATATCTGCCATTAAATCTGTCCTTAGCAAGTGCATTAAATCTTCGACAGTCTCCAGGTATAAATTTGTCATTTATATGTATATGTCACATATATGTTACATACATATGCCTGCCTAATATACCTCTATATCTGCCATTAAATCTGCCCTTAGCAAGTGCATTAAATCTTCGTCAGCCTGCGGGTATAAATTTGTCATTTATATATGTGACATATATATGCCTGCCTAATATACCTCTATAACTGCCATTACCTCCATATCTACAATTGGCAAGTGCATTAAATCTTCGTCAGCCTGCGGGTATAAATTTGTGATTTGTTTCCTCTTATCATTTGGCCGCAGACAAAGGAAGTTGCCCCAATGAACAGTTATAGAACGTTCTCATGCAAATTGGGATTTGGATTTGTCGCCAGTTTGGCGGCGGCACGAACCGATCAAAATGCGCATAAAATGCGCAACTTGAGGCGTAACTAGAGCAGCCAGCAGATGTATCTCATATGCAATTGAGATGCGAAAAAAAGATCCGTTATAGAGCTGCGGCACTTGCCGTACCGTACCGTGCGGGGCAGGTAAAAAACCGAGAAAAAAAAACCGAAAAAAAACCGTGAAGCGTATAAATTTCGTATGCTTATGCGACGGCATATATCGACACCTACAATTTGTATTCAATTAGCATATAGACCAGATCTCAAACTCTGCCCGCTAGCTAGCCCCGCTATTAACTGACCTAGCGTAACAATGGAACGGTAAAAAAAACACCCACACACACACACACACACACAGCCATATCATTTAACTGGGCTGCGATAGAGAGGCAGCACCGCGATTACGTGGCGTATGAGTAATGGGGCGAGCAAAGCGCGTGCTTGTCAGCTAATGACTAACTCTGCTGAGAGTTGCCCACCTGTAAGACCTGCCCATATATGGCCATAGACACATCCGGCAAGAGGCTGCACTCACTGATAAGACAGATTCTATCAGTCTTATCAGTCATTAGGCATTGGCCACTTCCTGTCAACGTCTGCATCATTCTGGAGGGCAAAGTACATGCTGCGTGAATCACGCCTACAAAAATATTTAAGTCCATTTAAAGACGGGGGCGAATTGTTGCAACAGTTTTTAACCGCACTTTGTACTCCAGCCGCACGGGACGAGCTAATCAAATGCCAATTTGATTGCTAATCGCATCGATTGGCCCAAATGATAAATTGGCTGATGCAAGAGGACGCACAATAATATACGCCTGTCTGCTGTCTGCCCGAATTGGGGTTACGTCTGATAAGTTGGCCTTCAGGCCATATTCCTGACATTGGCCACATCAAATGCGCAGTTACATTTCTGGTTCAGTTTCAGTTTCAGTTACAGTCTGGCAAATGTCAATCGATATAATGTTGGCTTCCTATACCCTAGAACCTATTGAAAATGTGCAAAAATGTGGGGGTTAAGGCTTTTTGCAATTGTGTGTAACAGGCAGAAGGAAGCACATATATATAAATATATATATACATATACAGTCTGGTCTATATATAGGCCAAAATTTCCCAACCCCATAACTCGGCCAAATCTCATCCGATTTCCACGAGGTTTGCCTCATTGTTCATGGTTTGGCCTCTAGATCAATCGTGCATCTAAATCTGGCAACATTATTTTTAGTCGAAATTCATGCACAAATGGTATCCTCAAAAATATCCTATATACACATAGGTCTAAATTTCCCACCCCCATAACTCGGCCAAATCTCATCCAAATTTTACAAGGGTTGGCTCTTTGTTCATGGTCTGGGCTCTAAAACAATTCGGCAACTAATTATGGCAACGCTATTTTTGGTCCAAAATCAAGTAAAAATGGTACTCTCAAATATCCTATGTATGTATATAGACACAGGTCGCAATTTCCCAGTCCCATAACTCGGTCAAAACTCAACCGATCTCCATCTGGTTTGGGTTTTTGTTCATGGTTTGGCCTCTAGATCAATATGGCATCTAAATCTAACAACGTTATTTTTGGTCAAAATTCATGTAAAAATTGTATCCTTAAATATCCTATATAGACATATCTGCAAGTCGGGCAGTCCTCACTAGAGAACTTATTTACTTATTAAATAAAAAAAGCCCACATTACGAGTGCTTAGCCAAGTAATTAAAACATTATAATAAAACAGTTAAAAGCCCAAAGGTCTAACAGGAATAATTTAGGAATATTTAAAGGATAAATAGGCAAAGTAAATGTAAAGAAGAAGACTGTGGAATATTGATAGTTAATTATAAAATGAATAATTACAATTAAATAGGAAGAAATTAGGGATTCAAAATCATCGACCCGTTGGGTAACGATTTAAATTTACTGTACACGAGCTGAAAGTGGACTCCCAGTTGAGTCTTAACCAAAATGACAGCGTGTTTAAATTGATTTCAAATGATTTGCACCCAAAGTTCGCATCGCTTGAACAGTTGCTAATGTTTAACAATATAAAATTTGGGCAATTCTATTTGATTGCCTTCGAATTACAATTGTTTTGGCCGCAATTACCAATCAGTTAATAATGACAGCACGTGTGGGAAAACTATATATAAACAAAAACTGGTAGAAGAACAAGTAAACATCTATTAGGATAATTGAAAGCCATGGCCTTCGGATAAGACAATACTATATCATACACTGAAATACGAGCCCGGATTTGTGTTGTTCAGCAGCTCAAAAGATTGGGTCACTTAGGATCATCTACAGAGAAATCGAATGAAATTCTTGGCTTCTCAGTTAAAATCCTTGAGCATATGCCAATCTTTGATCTTGATATTGTCGACTCTTCCACTTACCCCATAGTCCATCTCGCCCTTGTTTCATCTGATAAGTGCGTGGGTCTAACAAAATTATTAGATATATGAAGATAATATAACATAGATGTCTTCTATAAGTAACAGAAAGGCTTTTTTAGTGAAGGTTTCATTGCCTCAACGTTTCATGCATAGCTGATCGTATATAGCACATATATAACTTATCTATTCAGTAAACATTTTGCTTATTAAACAATACAAATTATTGATTGAATTTCAAGCTCGGGTTATAGAAGTAATGTGCTTACAGAGCATCCACTCTGGTATATTATAATGTACTTACATTTAAAAACTACTTGAGTTTTTTTAGATAATGATTTTGATGTTTATTTCAAGCATTTTAGTCGAGAACCGGCTCTTTACTGCTGCTCACAAATCAAATTTGTTATTCTTTAAATAAGTCCTGATGGAAAGTAAAGTATATTTTTTGGAAATACTGCTGCCTCTTATCAAAAAGCCAAGTTAGCTGCAGCATGTAGTCCCCGCTGGGAAAGGGCAGCGAAAAATTTCGGACGTCACAGAACAAATCCTTTATTATCAGTAAGCCCTGCAAATAAATTCAATAAAACCCTATAAATACAAAGTTGATTAGTTATCCGCAGTGTTTTGTCACTCACATCCAAATGAATGTTAATGTCCATGTTCAGAACTGTCTTATTGCGACTGATCGCACGCAGCCGGCACTTATCGAAGGTCACCCAAGTTGTGTTTTTGGACTGGCAAATGACATTGGTCCATTTGACGGTGGCTATCATCTGGAATATGAATTTTGTTTATCAAACTATAACAATTAGCAAATATATTATTTGAATACCTGAACGGTTTTTATGGAGAGCAGCCCCACAAATATTACCTGAATAGTCAGCTTTACTGTAGGCTGCATGGTCTCAACTGTGGAATTATGACTGCTACAACATGGATGCAAACTATCGGATAAAACCTCAAAATCATAATTACTGTGTCATTAAACCATCGAAGTTATTAAATAGTGCGGCCATAACAGCAAACAATCAATAATAATAGTTAAAGCTGATATGCTTGTAAGAGTATTCGTATAAATATTGATATATGTGCAGATTATGATATTTATTTAGATTTAATTTTCTCAATGACATTGTCTACCGCTTCTTCCCTGCTGCTCCCAAACACGAATAGTTATTCTTTAAATAAGTCCTGATGGAAAGTAAAGTAAAATTTTAGGAAATACTGCTGCCTCTTATCGAAAAACGAGGTTAGCTGTAGCGAGTAATCCCCGCTGGGAAAAGGCAGCGAAAAATTTCTGGCATCCCAGAAGAAATCCTTAATTATCAGTTTGCCCTGCGATGAGATTAAATTTAAAAAAAAACTCTTTAGACTTATAGTATTTTGTCGCTCACCTCCAGGGGACAGGGATGATTGAAGTCTATAAAGTCTTTGATTACATCCCAAAACATTTTCATTACAGGGTGATTGGCCCTACGCAGAAACGCGCAGTAATCAATCGTATACTGACCCAACCAGGGCTTATAACCATTT